TTGCCGGTCACGAAAAAAAGACAAAAAGACAAAAAAAAAAAAAAAAGTTTTTCTTCCAAATTATTTCCCAAACATTAACATGAGAATTGGCTTAAGACTGGGGGAAAGACATCCCAGGTACACAAGATGTGTCAGGGTTGGAGACTTAACCTGTGACAAATTTTAAATTACAACTGAGTCTGCCAAAGAATGATCATGTATGGATGATGTCATGTAACTCTAGTTTAAATTATTCTGCAATAGCTTTTAATTACCTGCCATAGTTTATGCAAATGTACTATTGATTGCCATAGGTTTTTATAGATTATAATCAAATTGCTACTTACAATCAAGACGTATCTTTAGGCTGTTTATAGAACATTCATGATGTACGGTGCTTCTTAGCTCACAGAGAAGTTGTTTATGAGCCACAGTCTTGGGTCACTTTGGCAGTTTTACTAGAGAATATAAACTTAGTTGTGTTGTGGTTTATGCCTGTAAAAGAGCACAGTTTGAACATGGTTATTTTAGGGTTGAATTGTGTGTTCTCACCAAATTTCCTTGGATTTTTTTCCTCTTGGATTTTAATGACAGAAAGTGTGTATAAGAAAATTTTTGAAGAGCTTTGTTAAATATCTCACTTGTTAACATTTTTAGATATTTGGGGGAGGGAGAGGCTGTTTATATTAAATAAATTAACCAGGAGTTGCATAGTTTGTTCTCAAAAGTATCTTTAAAATATTGATTATGTTGGCTTTAATTCTGTTTATATAAATGTTTCTCCTGTGTAGGTAGTAAATGAAAGAGTTTACATTGTGTGGGGGTGTATAAGGGGACAGAGTTTTTAGCCTTATTGAAATATGATTCTGCTAAATTAACCAGGATTTGTAGAAATCACTGGTTATCACATAAAGTGTTGAATATAAACTTTAAAAAGTACATTTATAAAATAAGATTGAATTACATATTGAGGATGAAAGGGGTGGTGGACAATAATCTGATTGTTCCTTATTTTATGAGAAGTAGACAGGGTGATTACTCTCTAGATAGTAAAGTATGTAAAACAACCTGTGTTGGCATTTTTCTCCCAAGGTATTTGGGCCTGGGGTGTTTCTTTTTTTTTTTTTTGTCTTTTATCCTTTTTTCCATATCCGGCAACGGATCGCAACCCTCGGCGCTGCTCCCGCGCCTCGCTCAGCCAGTGAGCGGGAACCGGGCCGGATGTGGGATCCGAACCCTTGGGCGG